TTAGGGATGGGACTGCCTGGGAACCCAGATCAGGGGACAAGTTTGGGACCTGGGTGGATTTCATAAAGCACAAAGCCCTTGGAGTGGTGTGTGAATGTTTGTGTATCTGTAGACACAAACAGTGTGACTGTGGGGAGCAGCCATCAGCGTGGGGGCCCCTCAAAAGTTAAAAAGCGACTGATGCTGCCTTGTGTCCTGCCTGTGCGGAGAGGGGAGTATGTGTGAGAGAGTGTGTGTATCAATGTGCATACATGCACATATTTGTGAGTTTCATTGTTTGACTATGTGTGTGGGTCTTGTTTGTAATGATGAATTGTGTGTCTGTGAGCAGACAGTTGTGTATGTGCCTATAAACCAATGTCTGCGTGTGTGTGTGTTAGGTATGTGAGTGTGTAAGTGAAAGTGTAATTATGTCAACGGTGATGAATTGTGTATCTGGGGACCTGAATATTTGTTCATGGGAGTGCCTGTGTATTCACGTGTGTGCACATGTGCATGTGAACAGAACTGTGGGGTGCATGTTCTGTGATTATGAGTCATGTGTAAGAGGGCAGATGTACATACATGTGGCAGTTATGTGATGTTGTCTGTGGATGGAGTGTGAGGTGTATGTGGTTATGAATCCTGTGTCTGGGGCAGGTTGATTTGGGGGGTGTGTGTGTGTGTGTATGTGTGTGTGTGTGTAGTGGTGCCTGGGCATGAGAGTGCATGGGTGCAGGTCTATATATAGCATGTATGTGCCTGTGTGTGTGTGTGTGTGCCCTGTGTGTGCTGGGAAAAGACATCAGAAGTCCTTGCCATTCCCCCATTCCAGCCCCTCAGGCTTCAGAGCCTGCTCCCATTTGGGTCTAGAGCAGCATGCTCCAGAGAGATGTGAGCATCCTTTCAGTGGCCTGGGGAGCAGTGACAAGGAAATGTGCTTGTTTATACCTGAAAACCTTAATAAATCATCAAATTTATGTGTGTGTTGCAGGGAGCAATGGGAACAGGCAGCATTCAACTTGCAAGACATGCAGATGTTTGACTCAATGTGAAAGTTTATTTGTAAGCCCAGAGAGTGAATCGTGCTGGAGACGAGACTCCCAGGCCCTGGAGAAATCCGAGAACCTTTCCTTTTTCACCCCTCTCTCCTTTGCACGCCTTTTAACAGAGCCTTGGAATAACATTAATTTATCTAATGCGTGCACGCCATAAGTTACTTTTTTAATTATTATGATCAAAATATTGCTTAAAATTGACGCCAGCTGCATGTGTTTCTGTCAGAGATCATAATTGCAATTGTAAATTGGGGAGCAGTTTGGCGCCAGGAGCCTCCCTGAGTAACGGCCCCAATACTGTTACCGAGAGGTGGATAAAAATAAAACTGCAGATCACACGGCAAAAATATACCAGCGTGAGTTAAAAGGACAATTAGTGGTGCAGAAAGGGAAGTGGGACTCTTGTCTGTTCTGTGGCACACGGGGCAAGGACTGGCCTGGAAGCTGGCCTCAGATTGCGCTAGGGCTGGGCAGTGGGTTGGCTCCTAGGGAAGGACCCAAGCAGGCCTCTGCACCTCAGTTTCTCCTTCTGTAAAATGGAGATAATGGAAACACCCAGTGGCTCCAACCAGGTGATGCATGTGAAAGTTTCCTAGAAACCCACAAGCTCCCTATCTAAGTAAAGGGATTCCTCAAGGGCTAGGGAAATGATGCTTTCTTCACCTTCCCCATCAGGAATGGTTTAGGCTGACTTTGACTTTCAAAGAAAACTGCAGATTTAGGACCAAAAGTCTCCTTAGAGTGCAATGGTTAGGAGCAGAGGCTGGAGGTGGGAGCCTGGGCCCTGCTCCCTCCCACCAAGTTTAGAGGCTGCCCGTGTATGACCTCTGCCCAGTAGGCACAAGGGTTTTCTTTAGTCTCTGCCCTCCCAAGCTTTCTTTCCAGCCATCATATTGGATGATATGTGGGAGTTGTCCTCGTGTCTGTCTGTGGTTGCAGAGTTCCCTGAAGCTGGCGGGGGCCTGGAGGCAGGACCAAGGGACATCACTTTGTTTAGAGCCTATCACTCTCGCCCTTCCACTATTCTTGCTCTGCCAGCCATGGGCTGTTCGACTAGTGACGGATGCCGCCCTGCAGGGAGAGGGCAGGAGAGGAGCTCAGCCCCTGCGCTTTCTCCAGGCTCTGTTCCCCAGCCTGAGCCAGTCCTGCCATACCCACAGCCACCTCCAGCCTCCCGGGCTGCCAATGTACCACCCGCCTGTCTTCCCGTCGCTCAGGGTGACTCCATAATGACTATAATCATGGTGTTCCGGAGAGGCGAGGGAGGGACAGCGAGAGCTTCCCTAGACAGCCTGTCCATTAGTGGGGCAGCGGCCTGTCACAGCTGTCCGGAGAGAGATGAGCCCTGACCAGGCCAGAGAGGCCTGGGGAGGGGAGACCAAGAACCCCTGTCTTCTCCATCCCTTCTTCCCCTTCCCCGCTCCCTGGCCTTCTGCTTAGGAACTCTGCTCTAATTAGAAATGATTTGACAACTTTAGGCCAGGCTCTGTAATTAAAAATAAAGAAGAAGACAGGCAGCATTGTTTCCTAACACGATGCCTTTAATTGGTGGAGTTAATTTTAACGGGGCCTAGCTCAGTGCCTTGGAGGAGGGGATTCCAGAACTGGGGCTCTTGCTGGCATCCCCTGGAAGTCTTGCCCAGCCCATTTACCTCATCAGCCAGGGCTCCTCAGGCAGGGGGCAGGGTCTTCATTTATTTTTATCTCTGGTGCCTGGCACACAGAAAGCAGAAGCAGGGGCCTGTGGTGAGGAAGATCCAAAGCATCTGGAGCTTCTGCCAGTCAGGAGGATTGCCTGAGGCCAGGAGTTCGAGACCAGCCTGTGCAACATAGTGAGACCGCCCCCCACGGCTCTACAAAAAACTACAAAACTTAGCTAAGAATGGTGGTGAGGACTTGTAGCCTCAATCTTCCCTCTTCAGCTTCCTGAGTGGCTGAAAGTGTCTCCCACCCCTTTCAGCCACTCAGGAGGCTGAAGGATTGCTTGAGCTCAGGAGATCCAGGCATGGTGCCACTGCACTCCAGCCTGGGCAACAGGGCAAGACTCTGTCCCCCACTCCCAAAATAAATAATTTAAAAAATAAAAATTAAAAAAAGCCACATTGGGATTGTGAATTGCAAAGAATAGAGAGAAAGCCTTCCAGGCTGGCTCAAGTGACAAGGGAGACATTGCAAGGGCAAGGAAGAGCTGCTGTAGATACCCCAAGGCAGGAAGGGAACAACAGCTGATCCACACAGGGTGGATCCCATGTCAGGGAGGGATACCCCTCCCTCTACCGCTGAGACTTCCATAATTGAGTCTATGAAATAAACTGACAGGAGGCAAATTAGCAGGAGAAAAGGTAGACACGATTATTATGTGCACAGGAGCAACACGTGAAGGAAAAGTGAATACCCCAAACCCAGCGAGATCTAGAAGCTGAGATGCTTTCTTCACAGGGGAGAGAGAAGGGGGAACGCGGGCAAGTTGGGGGAGCGTATATGGGATTTGGAAAGAATGGGCCCTTGGAAGAATGAGTGACAGTCTGACAAAGTCTGCCTGAGTGGGTGCCCCCCAGATCCCCAGTTTCCTCTCTTTCTCCTGTGATAGGAGCCAGTCTTCTCTGTTTGATAGATTCCTAGGGAGTTGGCTAGTTGACAGTTGGCTTCTTATTGGAGGACATCTTTAGGCAGATGCAGGAAGTTCAGAGAGCTCCCCTGCCCACATTTGCTGTACCCCAAGTGCTCTCAGTTTGAGGTAATCAGTATACCAGAGCTGAATATTTTGGGGTGACATTTCCTGAGCATTTTTTTTTTTTTTCCAGAAACTAGGGAAGCCAGGAACCCAACCTGCTTTCTCCATCTCTCAAGGCCTCCTCAGTAGCCAAGACTTCTCTCTCTCTGGGGTCTCCCACCTTTTTGGGGACCAGCCTCCCCAAAGATAAGAGACTGTTTTTCTCTTTTAACTTCAGCTCATGCTGAAATTAAATCCTTTCTTTAGTTCTTTTAGCACTGCCAAAGACAGGCTGGTATTTTCAAATATAACTGTATCTTTTAAAAGCTAGAAAATAGAAATAGAAAATACAAATAGCAGAAACAGTTTTCCAAAGGGCAGATTCTGAGTGCTAGGAATCCTGGTAGAAGTAGAAACTCCATTTTCTAAGTTCCAGGCTATGCAATAACATTTCTCTAACCTTCCAAGAGCTGGGACAATTCTATCCCTGTCCCCATGAGATAGATGCCTCAGGTGGAATCTACAGAAGCAGAATTGTTCCCAGTCTTTTTGAGGAACCCCTCTGTTAAGAAAGCGTGGCTCAGTAAATATGTGGTATCCTATTTTCCACCAAGTGAAACAGTTTAGCAGGATATTTTATTTCTGCCTGGGAGGAACAAGAAAGACCCCCCAAAGACGTACCCTTCTGTAAATTAAACCTCTTGGAGTTAAGCCTTCCCTCATCCCCATTACCCAAGCCTCATCCCTAAATCTTGCCAGTTTCATAAGAAGCTGAATAGTGTTTTTGAAATAGTAAACCTACCTGTTCCTATTGCCTGGTCGCCCCGCACCCACTGCGTCAATGACATCGATGCCTCTGGGGAGGGCGGCTACACGCTAGAACAAAGAAGTCAATTGAGTTGCTGAGTGGATTTTTTTTTTAACTTGAGGCAGATGCAGATACAATAGTCTATGGGCAAAGCGATTTTGATTTGCAAGAGCTAGAGCTTAAGAGAGAAAGTTTAGCTCTAAATTCCAAGAAGGCTTAGTTTAAACTCAGGACTGATCATTGAATTTCTGAAAGTTAACCATAAGGTGTCTGGGGATGCAGTAGATGTTTAAATGTTGATTGAATCAATCTTTCTCCATGTACAAAAATCCATCTATGTGATTCAACTTTTATTCTCATGCAATGCTTTAATGAGTAGCAGTAGTTAACATTGTAATTACCTGATGCTAGGTACTGTGCTAAGGGTCAGATAACTCATTTAATATTCTCAACAACCTCATAGAAATGTAGCACGATTATCCCCATGCTCAGATGAGCTCGTGTTGATTGCCTGCTACCCAGCTATAACAATGCCTCTCTGTCATTCAATCAATTCTCTCACTTCTGTTTCCATTGCACCTTCTCCATCCAGGTTCTTGTGCTTACTCTTCTCTCTTCTGGGAAGGTTCATTGACACCTTGTCTCTTTGGAGGAATCAGACCCCCCTTGTTCTGAGGCTTCCAGAGACAGGTAATCATATCCTTCTCCATGCCACAGCTAAACTTGTGCACATACAGGTTTTATTTTTGCACTTTACATACAGAAATTTACTGTAATTATTTGTGTAGGTTGGTCTCATTTGAGAGTAGTGGGGTTTTCTCTGTATCTTTAGAATCTAGCAAATGCTTGGCACATAGTAGGGACCAATGACTAATAAATAAGTGACTAAATGATGGATGAATGGGAAAAAAGAGTTAACCACAGAGCAGAGACCTGAGGGTAGTTGCCCCTCCACGCAGGTAAAACTTCCTGGGAAATAGGGAAGCCCAAGGAGAGAGGTGGAACCATCATTTAGAAGGAGCCGTTGGGTCTCTACTTTCTACTTTGAGGTCAGAACCCCTGGGGGTGATAGAGACCACAGGTGCATCTGCTAAGCCCTAGGCAGTTTATGCCCTGCTTCTCTCAGGAACTCTCAGAATATCCTGATCCAGCAGGGAAAAGCCTTGCAGAGCGGAAGGTGCCTTTAGGCAGTTCGAGGGCCTGAGATCCTTGGTCTGGTCCTTCCCACAACTCCCTTCAGGTTCCCGGCATGCAGCTGATACCAAGGAAATCTAGAGTGGCCTTCAGTCTGAGAGATGAGGACTCGGGGGACAAGTCAGGGCTAGCAGGAGGGGAGCAGCCCAGCAATCAAGATAAATAATATTTTAATGCAATACTTAAAAAAAAAATTGGCGACTGGGCATGGTGGCTCATGCCTGTAATCCCAGCACTTTGGGAGGCTGAGGCAGGAAGATCATGAGGTCAGGAGTTCAAGACCAGCGCCTGGACAAGATGGTGAAACCCCGTCTCTACTAAAAATACAAAAATTAGCTGGGCTTGGTGGCAGGCGCCTGTAATATCAGCTACTTGGGAGGCTGAGGCAGAGAATTGCTCGAACCTGGGTGGCAGAGGTTGCAGTGAGCTGAAATCATGCCACTGCACTCCAGCCGGGGTGACAGAGTGAGACTCTATCAAAATAACAACAACAACAACAAAAAAAAATTGGCAAAATATGGCTCATGGGTTGGCTGCCTAGTTTTATTTTTAATTATTTAATTAATTTTTTTGAGACAAGGTCTCACTGTGTTGCCTAGGCTGGTTTCAAACTCAAGCAATCCTCTGCCTCAGCCTCCTGAATAGCTGAGACTACAGGCCTGTGCCACAGTGCCCAGCTGTTGCCTGTTGTGTGTGTGTGTGTGTTTTGAGATGGAGTCTCACTTTGTCGCCCAGGCTAGAATGCAGTGGTGCCATCTTGGCTCACTGCGACCTCTGCCTCTCGGGTTCAAGTGATTCTCCTGCCTCAGACTCCCAAGTAGCTGGGACTACAGGTGCCCGCCACCATGCCTGGCTAATTTTTTTGTTTTTTAGTAGAGATAGGGTTTCCCCATATTGGCCAGGCTGGTCTTGAACTCCTGACCTTGTGATCTGCCCACCTCCCAAAGTGCTGGGATTACAGATGTTATTTGTCTTTTAATTGCTGAGTTATAAGAGTTCTTTATGTATTCTGTGTACAAGTAAGTTATGAATGGCTTCCTTTTGTGTAGAGGATGAATTTCAGTCCCTTCAGCTGTCCTGCAAGGCTCTTCCAGATCGAGCCTGATTTCCTTTACTGAGGGCTCTATCTCCTGCTACTCCCTTCCTTTTACTGATAATGCTTTTTCACGTCCCTGTCCAGAAAATGCTCTCTCTCACGCTGGCCTTTTGTAGATGCCATTCCAAAAACAGTATTGTTCCTTCTTGCCTGGCTAAAATCCACCCACCCTCCACTTAAGGTTCCTTTCTGTGGGCTAAAAAGATGGTGCAGGCCGGGCATGCATGGTGGCTCATGCTTAGAATCCCAGCACTTTGGGAGGCTGAGGCAGGAAGATCACTTGAGCCCAGGAGTTTGGAGAGACCAGCCTGGGCAACATAGTGAGACTCTCCAAAAAAGCAAAAAAAAAAAAACCCCAAAATTAAATCAATATTAAATATATATAAAACAGATGGTGCAGGAGGCAAGCTCCATGCCTGAGAGTTGGTCTATGTTCAGGGCCAGCTACTGAGGGCACGTGTGGATTCTGGCCCTGTGACACTGACAGTGAGGTGCTGGAAAGTGATTGCAACACCCTCCACGAGACCAAAGAGGGCCAGTGAATCCCTTGGAGTCAGAGGAGATTTTAAAGGTCATTTGGCCCACCCTCCTGCCCCAGAGGTTGGAGCATTTCTGCATCATCCCCATGTAGCCTGTCCTGTCTCTGGATTCCATCCGGGACAGCTAAACCACTGCTCTGGGGATATGCAACATGACCTTTAGGGAAGGGGAATGGTGTGTTTACCTGCAGGCAGGCAGCCCTGGGCTTCAATCCTGGCTCCGCCCTCAGCCATGGAATCTAGGGCAGGTCTCCTAAGTTAGTTTTTCAGTCTGCAGACAGGTAGTAAAACCTGCCTTGTGGGGCTGTTATTTGGCACTGGGCAGGCACTCAGCAGTGTTGGTTTCCTTTCCCTCCTATTAGAAAGCTTGGCCTCAGATTGAGCTTAAATCTGTTTTCCTGTGAATTCCACACATTGGTCATGGAGCCACAGGGGGCACGTCTCTCTCATCCCACTGTCTGTTTCGTGTTTGGAGTTTGTCCCCTTAAAAGCGTCTCTTGAGGTCAGGCGCGGTGGCTCATGCCTGTAATCCCAGCACTTTGGGAGGTTGAGGCAGGTGGATCACAAGGTCAGGAGTTTGAGACCAGCCTGGCCAATATGGTGAAACCCTCTCTACTAAAAATACAAAAATTAGCCAGGCATGGTGATGGGCACCTGTAGTCCCAGTTACTCGGGAGACTGAGGCAGGAGAATTGCTTCAACCCAGGAAGCGGAGGTTGCAGTGAGCCGAGATCATGCCACTGCACTCCAGCCTGGGAGACAGAGCGAGACTCCATCTCAAAAAAAAAAAAAAAAGCCTCTCTCTGCAAACTCAGCATCTTCACCTCCCTTAGCCGCTCAGCCCCAGTCACCCATGCTGAAGTGAGCCTCACCCAGAGTCCTTGAGAGGCAAATCCATTCCACAGACAATGGCTGTATTATTGATAACGGTTAGGCTTTGTATCCCCACCAGGTATCATCTTGAATCGTAATCCCTATAATCCCCATAATCTCTTATGTGACAAAGGGGAGACAAGGTGAAGGTAATTGAATCATGGGGGTGGTTCCCCCACACTGTTTTCACAATAGTGAGTTCTCATGAGATCTGATGGTTTTATGAATGTTTCGTAGTTCCTCCTGCATTCCTTCTCCCTCCTGCCACCTTGTAAAGAAGGTGCATTGCTTCCCCTTCTCCTTCCACCATGATTGTAAGTTTCCTGAGGCCTCCCCAGCCATGCTGAACTGTGAGTCAATTAAACCTCTTTTCTTTATGAACTACCCAGTCTCAGGCAGTTCTTTATAGCAGTGTGAAAACGGACTAATACTATTGACCATGACATTAGGTCACTTCTGTCAGGATAGGAGCCGTTTCTGATTCACTACATCAGGTACAGCCATTTGCACTTGCTAAGTATGTAATAAATATGTGTTGACTGAGCCTGCCTCCCTTGGTCAGAGGGAGTACTCTTGCCCCAAGTGTTCTCTCCCTTCCTCAGCTACAACTTGAGGCCAGGGAGTGAGGCAGGCAGTGTATTGTAAGACCTTAAATTAATATACTCTTTCAACATTTACCAAGCACCAAGTTAGGGGGTCCGATAAGAACTCTTATGAGTTTTCTAGGGCTGCAGTAACAAATTACCATAAACAGCATGGCTTAAAGCAACAGACATTTCTTCTTTTGCAGCTCTGAAGGCTGGAAGCCCAGAATCAAGGTGACAGCAGAGTCATGCTCCCTCTGAGGTTCAAGAAAAGAATCATCACACACCTCTTTTCTAGCTTCTGATGGCTTCTGGCAGTTGCTAGCATGCCTTGGCTTGCAGAGCCTCACTCCAATCTGTCTCTGTCTTCACACGGCATTCTCCCTTGTGTGCCCCTGGGTCCACATTTCCCTCTTCTTAAAAGAATGCCAATTGTTTGGAGTGAGGTCCACTCTAATCCAGTATGAACTCATCTAAACCTGATCATATCTGCAAAGACCCTATTTCCAAATTAAAGTCACATTCCCAGGTTCTAGATGTTCATGCATTTTGGGGAGACACCTGTCAACAGTATGGAAAACAATGCTTGCTGTCAAGAAGCCCATAGTCTGGTGGAAGGGCGTGTTAACATAGAAGAGCGATGTGGTGATTGACAGAGGCATGCTGGAGCAGAGAAAGAGAGCATGTGTACTGGGAAGACACCTGAACCAGTCTCTGAAGGGATAGGAGCTGGTCAGAAGAAGGGTGTGAGTAAAGGTGGGAGAAATGACCTGGGGGATCCAGAGAACTACCAGGAGCTGGTGAGGCTGGAGCCCAAAGAAGGGATCAGGGAGTGATGAAAACAGGGCTGGGAGGTGAGCAGGGGGCAGTTGTGACACATCTTGGACACCACAGATCTTTATCTTACAGAGAGCCAATCAGAAGCCAAAGAAATACTTTACACACAAAAAAGATAAAGCCAGATGTATCTAGAAAGCTGACTCTGGCATCCATGTGAGATGGGTTAAAAGGTGAGACTGGAGGCCAGTTAACTAGTTAGATGCTGTTGCTAGTGCAGGCTAGAGATGCGAGGCTGTCAGCGGCTGATGGGGGTCTTGGCCAGTTTGTGCCCACTGTTATTCCAGAGATAAACACCATGGAACTGCATCACAAACACCATTCTGCAGGTAGAACTTGACCTGCATAAGAGGAAGGCAGAGAAAGACATCAGAAATTGTTTTCTAAGAGCAAATGTTGGCTTTTCAGGGGATCTGAAGTCAAGGTTGAATTTTCCAATGAGCTAGCTGGACTCTTCTTGGCATTTAGACATCCCAGGGTTTGCTTTCCATTGATTTTCTAGTGGGAGCCTCCTTCACATGCCTGATCTTCCTCTTACACTCTTAGCCCCCTGTCAGGTGCAGTTTC